ATGTAATTATTAAGCTATTTTTAGTATTTTATTATTTAAGATATTTAGTTATTGAAATAATATTTTATTTTTTTAATGTTAAATTTCTATTATTTGAATCACATTTAATTTGAATATTCTGGAAAATCATAATTTATATTGTTAGTACATAATTTCGTGATGAATTTTATAGAAATATAAAACTATTAATAATATGAATATTATTAAATCTATTATAATTATTTTTTTGTGTTTTTAATAAATCTTTTAAAGTTATTATATAATTTGTTAAATTATTTAAATAATTTTTAAATTTTTAATTTAAACATTCTTTAGATAGATAGATATATATAAAAGGTGGCAAAGAGGATAAATAGGAAGTAGAGATAATTTGGAGAGAAATTCTCTAGTAGATTAGAGATAAGTTAGGAGATAAATAGGAATTGGAGATGAATTAGGAGAAAGTGGGGGAGGTAGTTTAGGGAAAATTTTAGAAGAGATTATTTAGGTTTATGGGAAAGTGCATATCATTGGTTGTTTTAAAAATGACATGGAACAAAAAAAAATAAAAAATTCAAAAAATGGAGAAAATTTCTTGACTGCTTTATATATATATATATATATATAATTCAACCGTTTAATTGGATGGATTCGAAATCCTATTCCCCCATTTGAGGGAATGACCATTCTCTCCCCTCCTTTGGGAATGAAATCCTATTTCAGATGATTCCAATTCCCATTGATTCTTGTCTGAACCAAACAGACAATGGGAGAAGGAGATCATTCCGATTCCAATTCATACTGTGAACCAAACAGACCCTAATCTTTTGGCTAGGCTGGAATTTCAAGAATCAACTTGTACTAGGAGCTCTTAAAGAATTTTCACCCTATCAATAAAACCCTAATTCTCAACTTCATCAAAAGTTTGGTCAATCCTTCCATAGTTTGGATTAAGATGACCCTTGGGATTGCCATTGTGGCACTCATTAAGATCTAGTAACTAATAATAAAACTGTAGAAATGCATTCGAATACCATACTACTAGAAAAAGTCAACCCAACTTGTGAACCTAATCCAACCCAACCCAAAAGGATTTTGGTTCGGGTCGGATTGGGTCACGTGCCACATCTTTTCAAACCAACATTTTGAAATTGGCATTGAATCAGATGGTTGAACCGTTTGAACTAAATAGTTAAACCTATATTTTTAATAAAAAGCAATTAACTTGGTCAAAGATCAATTGACCGAAGAGGTTGAACCATTGATTTATTTGACCCATGAGTCAACCCTAATCTGAATATTCATAATAAGAGTTTATCGTTTTGTTGAACCAACCCGAAATGACTTAGACTTGACCTGAACCCGACCCAAATCAACCCGATTACCAGGTTTACATACCACACTAGTCCTCAGAAAACCCTAGTGCTTTCATAACATATCATGAATAATCTGATCAATCATATGCCTTTGCCATGTTTGGTTTAATGGTAGAAGGCCCACAAGTTTTTAACGCGATGGTGAAATGAAACAGGATTCATGGAGCTGGCTGCCCCATATAATAGGGATAACACTTGGATAATGATGGTAAATGATAATGAATTAGCCCATGAATCATATGGACATTGTCAACAAGAAATCTATCATGAATGAAAGTTGATTAAAATATGGACACATTTATTCTATATGTTTTTATGTCTATTAACCAAATTTTATGCAATGTTTTTATAAACAATATTACAAGGACCGATTGTTTTAAAATCTTATTATGCAGCGGTAGAATATAAGTGTGACAGTGTGATTTGTTCTTTTTGAAGTTTTTTTTTTTTCTTTTACTTGCAAAAAATTCACACATAAAACCACCAAGGTCATTATTAGGAATTGGGATTTGCTCCTCATGGAGCGCTCGCTCCTGCACCGACCTGACAATTACATCCCACTATGTATTAGGAACATCTCCCATGAATAATAAATACAAATACATGTGATGTTCCCAATGTGTGGCTAAGACTAGCTGTAAGGTCGGTAAGAGGTGCACTCTGTGAGGAGCAGATTTGGAGTTAGGGGCAGAGTGGGTGGGACGTTCCAAGGGAGCCATGGTCCCCCCAAACTTTATAATCTCCATTTATGTTTATTAACCACCTTTCCCATGCTTCATTCAGGTCCGAATCTGCTTATCATAGAGCGCTCCTCACACTGACCTCACAACATATTCCAACTGTACATTGGGAACATCTCTCATTCTTGTTTGTTGTTATTCATGCGAGATGTTTTTAATACATGATAGGATGTGGCTGTGAAGTCGGTGTGAGGAGTGCTAGGGTTGTCAATGGGTCAGGTTGGATCCAATAGACCTAAACTGATTGAGTTGGTTCTGATTTTTGATATATTATCCTGATTCTTATCAGATTGGAACCAGTTCCACCTAGTCCCAAACTGATTCAGACCTGACTTGAGCTATATATAATATTAAATTATATATAATTTAATATATATATTAAATAAATTAGTATATATAATATTTTCAATAAGTTTATTATAATTGGGCCCATTGGGTCAGACCTAATTGGCTAGAGAACCTATTGGTTCAGTTCTGGGTCTAAAATTTTGGTCCGAATCCTTAGTATTTCTTGTTGGATCGATTCCGGTTCTACCTAGACCCAATCCCAAAGAGTGTTCTATGAGAAATATATCCCAATTCACTTGGTCCTTTTTATGGGCCTCATCGATGCTTATCCCCCAATAAAAAATTCCTGGCTCTTCCTTTGGTTAATAGTAATGATGTCAAACTTTTTTAAAAAATAGAGGACAAATATATCATCAAGTCTAGGAGCTTCTAAACTATCTAAACAAAGTATTCTTAATCTCTAAATAGAAGTTTAGCGGTTGTATGATCATTATTTAAATCACTTATGACTTCATCAAATAAATGATCACACTATGAACATGTGCCTTAGTATTTGAAGCAAACATGGAAGAAAAATAATCTCAAAATTCATTGACAATGCCTTCGTTAGTGCTGGCCAATCCTTATCATTCTTCTTGATTCAATCAAATTTTTTTTTTTTTTTTTAATCTTGTAATGACAATTAAGGGAGTGTTGGTCAATATGAACGCTTTCTAGATATCAAGGATGGTATTTTGGTCTTCTCTTTTTTAGGTCTTACTCCCTTAAATCTTTGCCTCCACGTTCTTATGTTACTTTTATTATTTTTTTAATAAAAGACCGGATTTTTTGTTGGTAAAAAAAAATTTCCTCCACAAGGAATGAGGAAAATATACCATTAGTCTATTCCGATTTAGATTCTAACTATGAACCAAACGGATCCTAAAGGGTCTTTTTACAATTTGATGGGCCAACTCTTCTTTATCCATGCTCTCCTATCTTGGTCACACTTATCCATTTGACATGATGCCGACATGGCCGAAGAGATAAGACAGCCGCGGAAGTGACATATGGCACCCGAGGCCAGGTCAACCATAACCCGAACATATACGTTCTCCAAACACATTGAGATATGCTCTTCATAGAGGCATCTCACACCCGACCTCATAGTCTCATCCCTCTGTGCATTAGGAATGTCTCCTCATGAATAACAATACAAAGTACGGGAGATGTTTCTATTACACGGTGAGATGGGGCTGTGAGATCAATGTGAGGTGTGTTTTGTGAAGAATTGTTTCGATTACGAGTATGGACATGTTCCTAATATGTGAACTCATCATACATTCCATACATGGCCGGTCCCATTTTTATGATGGGTTTTAGTGTAAAGGTGACATGTGTGAATCATATCATATTGATAGGGTGTTGGGACATGTTTTATTCGTAGGTAGGGGTGGCAACGAGCCGAGCTTTTCACGAGAACCGAGCCGAGCCGAGCCAAGCTCGAGCCTATTAGAGGTCGGCTCGTGAGGCTCGCGAGCTGACTCGAATATATATATATATATTTGATATTTAATATATATAATAAAAATATTATAATTATTAATTATTATAATTCTTAATTTTTTAAATTTAAAATACTTTTTTTATATATAATTTTTTTTTATAAAATATTTTTTCTCAAAATCGAGCTCGGACCAAACCAAATTCGAGTCAAAACGAGCTTGAACTTATAAACTTTTGATTTGAACCGAGCTCGAACTCAAGGTTCTGGCTCGAACCGAAATCAAGCCTTATAGAATAGTCTCGAACCGAGCTCAAACCTAATACTATTCAACTCGACTCGACTCGAATCCACTCCTATCCGGAGGAGATCCCAACTCATGAGTATACAACAACGCTTGGAGTTTGGATTGACTTTCAACACATCACGCCCACACGCGCCCCATATTCATATCACAGCATACACCGAAAACATTTCCCGTATTTGTCATAAAAAAATATGACTAACAAAGGGTTGGGATGTGCGGATTGGGACCCAATGTGAATCCGGTTTCGATTTTGCTCTTTATATTGAATCCGATCTGCTCGTTACAAAACACTCCCAAAAACATGTATCAGCCGCACAGCGGGAGTATCTCCCGTACTTGATATAATATTAGAACATCTCCCGTACTTGTATAGTATTATTCATGGAGTGAGGAGCGGAGTTTTTATACCGCACGTAACGACTAGCTAAAGAACCACTCCTTAGGACCTTATCCGTGATCAAGTTTTTCGTTTGTTGGTGTACTTGTATAAAAAAGTCAGTTGCTTCGTGTGACGGGATCTGCTCCTCACAAGTGGCCGCCTCACAGATAGATCCATCGTGCATTGAAAACATCAATAGATAATAAGTACGGGAGATGTTGTTAATGCATGATAGAATGTGCGTGTGAGGCGCCTGTGAGCGTCAGGTGTGAGGAGCAGATTCAGTCTCTTGCTTCGTTCGCTCATTAAAAAAATAAGAAAAAGTTGCTCAACTTTTGTCCTTTACCCCCTTCCCGTCCCGATCAATGGCTCATATTGTACATTCCCCGTTCGTTATACTAGAAGGAAACTTCTCGGTGTTTTCACATTATTTCATGAACAAAAGAGGGGTATATTGGTCATATATCATGGAGGCAGGTCGTTGCAGTTGTTAGTATCAGAGCAGCTCCACTGTGCTCCAGTAATAAGTACCTTCCTCTCTGTATTTATGGATACTTGCCCTGAGTCTCTCCTCCAGTAGAGCGGCGATAATTGCTTAATTTCAGTCAGGTATGCCCATGTTTTCTTCATCGTTATATTCTTCTTCTGTACTCTTTTTTCTTCGATGGCTATATCCTATACTCTTCCTTATTACTTTACTATGCATAATCAAGCTAGAGTGGCAACAATGGTTGTTCCCTTCGTTGATGACTTGTTTTGATGGATTTCTAGCTGCAAATATGTTTTCCGTGCATGTGTTTATAGCAATTGTTGTCTTGTCATGCTCTGTTTATTCCATTCTTTTTCCTTTCTTTTAGCATTTGCTTGTATGGAATATGACTTTCTGTAGGGATGCGTGTGTAGAGCTAGTGGTGTGTGATCTTGCTTGCTTTTGTCTTCTCTCAGCATAATTCTTCTTCTAGCTTTTTTCTGATTTTATTTTCACTTTTTCGATTTCTTTGCTTGGTTTATCGGACTTATCATCGTTTTCCTTTTTTTTTTTTTTTAAATTTCTGAATCTGAACTTGTTTCAGTGTTTTTGCTCGTCTTTCGCTTCTTGATATCTTGATGGGTTTTAGGAGGTTCATGAGCTAGTAGTTGTTAATGCCACTATAACACAACAATAGTCTTATCTTATGAAACTACGACTCTTCTTCCTTTTTAGTTTCTTAGTTGCTTGCTATGGTATGGTTTCTTTTTAGTTTCTTTCATTTCTGTAATCCATGGAGTTTTAGCTTATTCTTTTAACTTCTATCGATGTTTCTATGAATCTAACCTTTTAAGGTTTTTGTATGAGTTCAATGTCTGAATTATATGGAAGAAGTGTATTCAAAGCACCCTCTGAATTATGATGAATACCACCGGATTGGTCACCCCTTTTATGATACCGGTTGATTGGTCATAAATTTTTCCAGTATCATGCCTTTCCGGTGTCATAGTCGAACCCATTTCTTATTATTCAAGGTCATCAAATTGGACTGACTAAAACTGTTGATTGAATAGTTCCAATGTTCTCCAACCTTATCTTACCGTCAACTATTTAACCTCATTTTCTACTTTTTACCTAGCATTTTTACTCCAATGAGAAAAGTCCCAAAAGATTCTGTCATCATAATCCTTCCTCCATATACCTTGAAGGCAACACAAGGAGTAACAATGGATGAACTGTGAATTCTAGAACTGAGTGTTACAATTTCTATATGCCACTGGTGATGGATTTTAACTATAATAATAGAGTGCTTAGAAGTATCCTCTAGCTCTTTTTGTGTTATTGATTCCTGGAGAGAAGTGGCTAAAATTGCTCAAGTCTGGGGGAGGTTTGATACTTTTTAAATTTTTTGTTTTTATTCAATTTTTATTTGAGCGGGTTGAACAGTTGAACTGGACAGTTGGACCGTCCAACCTGTAACCCAGTGAGCAAGACAATTTTGTATCTGGTACGGGTATGACAACATTGATAGAGTCACTTCCCATCTTCATAGGGATTTTAACTACTCAGTATATTAAGCGGGCAAATAATTGCAAATGCTGTTTGACATGAACTTTTAATGTGAAATAGAAAATCAAAAAGGGTAATAAGAACCCTTAGAATGTTAACTTTTATTGCAAATTTTATGGTACAAAAATATGTTTTGCAGTACCGGCATCATGAAAGCTTAGATGCTGCAGACTGAGACTGTAACTGTTGTATCCTATGTAGGCAAGACTTGCAGCCTAACTGTACAATGATTTTGGGATTTCACTATTTCAGTCTATTGGCGGTTTTTTGGTATTGGTACTGAAAAGAATGTTTCTGCACTATAGAATTGCTCTAAATGTATTATATGGAATGTGGGGTTAAAAAAGTTAATGAACGAGAAACAGGGGGAGAGTTACTTTTCAAGTATCATTCTTGTGATGAAAACCCTATTTTGATATAGCATAACTGATACCAAGATTCAAGATATGCACCTTACTGCTACCCCTCTAATATATTTGTTAAACTTTTCAGGCATTTTTGTTGAGCCATATTTCAAACCTAACATATTCTTTATTTACTAATTTCAGGTTATCTATTCCTTTGTTTCTCTTTGTTAGTTTGGTTGAATACTTATAGTTTTGAGATTTCTATTATTTATTTCCCCTCTTTTTATTACATTTCCATAGGTAGCTAATAACCGATACAAACTTATCAGATTTTTTACCTCATTTTAACCACCGTATAACATCATTTTATTTCTTTTTTTCCCACTGTTGCTCTTTCTTTCTTAACCAGATAAAACATGAGGTGGAAGTTACTGCTGCTGTTTTTCTGTTTATCAGCTCTGACAAGTGCCTTAGCACTCCATGCTTTCTCTAATGGGTTAGTGAGGATTGGTTTAAAGAAGAGACCATTGGATCCTACTAGTCTAAATGCTATGAAACTAGTGAACAAAGTGAGCAAATATGCAGGTGGTCTTTGGGACATCCATCATAACCTGCATGATTTCAATGAAGATATTGTATCTCTAAAGAATTATTTGAATGCTCAATACTATGGAGAGATTGGCATTGGTTCTCCACCACAGAACTTCACTGTCATATTTGATACTGGAAGTTCGAACCTCTGGGTCCCGTCATCGAAGTGCTATTTTTCTGTGAGTTCTTTATGATATCTTGGTCTTCAGTAGTTACTGTCAGTGATTTGTCTACAATTACTACTCTTCTTTGCAGATTGCTTGCTATTTTCACTCCAAGTACAAGTCAACTCATTCAAGTACATACACCAAAATTGGTAATACCCAAATGTCTTTTAGACTTTCTTGATCTCCAAAAGACTTGGTCAAGAATTACAAGTTCATGGTCTAATAAATAAAGATTTTGATTATTTCGTTATTGAGAGGATCTGTGCTCAAATTATTGTGGAAATCCAAATCAGGAAATTCTTGCAGCATTCATTATGGATCTGGATCAATTTCTGGCTTCTTCAGTCAAGACAACGTGCAAATTGGGGATCTCATTGTTAAAGATCAAGTGGGTTCATTTTTTGTCTGATTTTATATCAAATACATTATCCATAATTTGGATGCACTAATGGTTATGCATGTATTAAATTTTAGGTTTTCATCGAAGCTACACGTGAACAAATGCTTCCTTTCTTATTGGCAAAGTTTGATGGAATACTTGGACTTGGATTTCAGGAAATTTCTGTTGGGAATGTTGTGCCTGTCTGGTATGGTTTTACACAGTCCAACAGTTAACTGTTCTTAATATTCCTTTTTTGTTGGAGAAAAGAAAGGGAAATACTTTCTCCTACTCTTGTTCTAAACCTTCAATGCCTCAGATATACTGATCTATGCTCATTATGCAGGTACAACATGGTTGAGCAAGGTTTGGTAAATGATGCTGTCTTCTCTTTCTGGCTAAACCGAGATCCACAGGCAGTGGAAGGAGGTGAGATAGTCTTTGGTGGTGTTGATCCAAATCACTTTAAGGGAAAACATACTTATATTCCTATTACCAAAAAGGGATACTGGCAGGTGAATTTCCTTTCATCAAAACTGTCATTTCTTATTTTTTTTGGATAAATACTCCGCCATTTTTGTTTGTTATTAAAGAACTTATATTTTTTGCATTTGTCTTCTTTCTCCAGTTTGAGATGGGAGACATTTTCATTGGGAGCTATTCAACGGGTAATGCATTGTTATCATGAACCCATCCTACTATATTTTATAAGTTAGTTGAAGATTACCTCTCTGGCTAATGAATCAAAATAAACTTGAAACTACTGTTGAACAATAAAGTCCAAAATCTTATATAGGATAAATCATTCTTCCAATAGAGCATTAATCAAAATTAAACTTTACTCTTGATGGGTCTGACATTTATTACAATAACATTCTCATTGAGGATGAATCATGGGCCTGATATTACAATAACATTCTCATTCGGATAGTAGGGGTATTTTTGCCATTTTTCACTTTTCTATGGGGTCCATTGATAGGGTTTAATTTGTCTAAGTAGGATTAGAGTTATTAAGTCTTCTTTGAATTGAACTTGGATATGACAACTTAGTTTGAGTCCTACTAGGATTATTGAGTCTAATAGTTTGACTGCTAAGACTATTATGAGTCTAACAGTTTGACTCCTAGGATTATTATGAGTTTAAAGTCTATATATGTGTGTATATATTGTGTTTTCTTCAGCATATGCTAACTATGGTGAATGATTCCCATGCCCTAGAGTGATTCTAGGCACCTTGTGAGTGATTCCAGGTATTTTCTCTCTTCTTTCTCTCCCTATTTTCTCTCTTATTCCTTCAAGAAGCTATTGCAGCCATCATCAGCCATAAAATTCTGATCAAGAAGACCATTCAACATTCTCTAAGGACTAGAATTGAGCTGGTCCTACATCAGCTGGTATCAGAGCTAATGGTTTATTCACTACGTTCTCACAAAGTGATCGATTCTATAGGCCTAGGGTATCTTCTAAACAATCTTACAGGTCTACAACCAATGATGATTGGGTTTTTGAACCATATGAAGGGTCTTTGGTTGACTTATTTGAGAAGATGGTGGAAGAAAACATATCTAAATAATGTTGGTTACAGGAGTAAGGTCTTCAAACATGTTAGAAGAGAAAGGGAAATACCGAATTTCAAAGGAGATGATGATCTGTAAGCATTCTTTGATTGGGTTTCTGAACTAGAAGAATATTTTGATTAGCATGATATGTTTGGCAATCAAAGGATTAGATTTGCGCGCATGAAGCTGATGTGTCATGCTAAAGTATGGGGGAGAACTCTTGAGCGACGACTAAAAATAGAGGTGATGATCCAATTAGTACATGGGCAGAGATGAAGAGGTGTTTACAAGAAAAGTACATCCCACTAGACTTTCATGGTGATCTACATATGGAGTTGACTAATTTCGAGCAAAAGAAGAACCAATAGGTTACAACAAGTAACTTGAAGTCAATTGGAAGAAGGTACAGAGTTGAAAAGAAAGTAGATGATTCCTTGCATGTTGATGCCTATCCTAGAGTTGAAGTTGAGGATGAAGCTAAAAAAGAAGAATTTCAAGCTATAGAAGTTCTAGACATTAAAAATCAAGAGGGTCCAGGCCAAGAAAAAATAGAAATTGCTGGAGTTTCCAACACCCATGATCAACTTGAGGTTAATGACTAAGAAGAAATAGAAGTGGAGCAAGTTAAAGAAATTCAGGTGCAAGATACAAATGTGCTGATTGTAGTAGATCCTAGTAAGGAAGTAAGTGACTTTACCCTTCAAGTTCAAGTAGAACTAATTCAAGAATTACAACCTGACATAGCACGAGTTCCCCCAATATCAACAATGGAAGGAGACTTGGAGTTTGTTGAAGAACCAAGGATAGTAGAACAAAGATGGCTATGGAAGGTAGTGTTTTGGAAATACGTTTTTTCAAGATCCTTTTCTAGTTCTATGTGTGCCCTCTACTCTACAGTCCAAGCATGTAGTTGTAGGAAGTCCTACTTTTGTAATTGGGGCATATCAACTTTTCATCCTCAAGTTCTGCAAAACTTGAGGATGAGTTTTTTTTTTTTTTTTTTTTTTTTTTTTTTTTGAATTGGGGGAGAATGATGTAGGAGCTCAAGAGTCAAAATTGGAATTTTATGAAATTTTGTATTTTGTATTTTTGGACAGTAGGGGTATTTTTTCCATTTTGCAATTTTCTGTGGGGTCCATTGATAGGGTTTAATTTGTCTAGTTATAGTTTGTTTATGTTTAAAATTTCAGAGTCATTGCATTAGTAAGATTAGAGTTATTGAGTCTTCTTTGAATCGAAATTGGATATGACAGCTTAGTTTGAGTCCTACTAGGATTATTGAGTCTAACAGTTTGACTCCTAAGATTATTATGAGTCTAACAGTTTGGCTCGTAGGATTATTATGAGTTTAGAGTCTCTAAATATGTATGGGTGTTTTACACTAAAGGCAATGAAATATATTGAGTTTTCTTCAGCTTATGCTTACTATGGTGAGTGATTCCCATGCCCTAAAGTGATTCTAGGCACCCTATGAGTGATTCAAGGAATTTTTTTCTCTTTTCTCTCTTCCTATTTTCTCTCTTATTCCTTCAAAAAGCCATTACAGCCATCAACAACCATAAAATTCTGATAATTGGGAGCAACATTGGTAATTATCTTTTCTTTGAGAAGTAACAAGCATTTCTCAAGTTTGGATTCATATTTTTCAGGATTCTGTGAAGCTGGTTGTGCTGCTATAGTGGATTCAGGAACTTCATTGCTTGCTGGTCCACCTGTATGTGCTTTATTGCCACACAGATCTTCAAGATTGATTTATTTGTTTTTATTCATTTTTTCAGCTCCTTTCATTTCTTGTGTCCATCCCCTTTTCTACTATATTCTAATTCATCTTCAAATCCAGACTGTTGTGACTGAAATCAATCATGCCATTGGAGCAGAGGGAGTAATGAGCATGGAATGTAAAGCAGTTGTCTCTGAATATGGAGATTTGATATGGGAACTCCTAACAGCAGGGGTATTTTTATTCTTGAACATTTCTTATTTTTCTCATTAATCAAATAATCCTTTTATACTTTTACAAAGTTTTGTGGATGAAGGATGTTGTATAAATATTTCACTTCTATACTTTATAGATACAACCTGACAAAGTATGTACACAAATTGGTCTTTGCTTTTTCAACGGGACTCAGCACGTGAGGTCTGGAAGTGTTTTTGTTTTCATGGTTTACCCTTTCATTTTCTATTCACACCTTACTGAGACCAAATTTGATTTCATGCAGTTCTGACATCAAAATAGTCGTTGAAAAACAAAACGAGGGGTCATCATCTGGTGACAGTGTACTATGTACTACCTGTGAGATGGCCGTTGTTTGGATCCGCAACCAGCTTAGGCTAAAACAAACCAAGGAAGTAGTTTTCCGCTATGCCAATGAGGTCGTTTATTTCTGAAACTATGACTTTTTTTCATGCTGAGCTTTGCCCGGATGATAAAATCCTGAGTCAATTTCAATTATATTTCAGTTGTGTGAGAAGATGCCAAGTCCTGCAGGAGAGTCGATTATTGATTGTGATAGTCTTGTAGGCTTGCCAGATGTTTCATTTTTCATAGGGGATAAGCTTTTCACCCTCACTCCGGAACAGGTATAGTTTTTTATGACTCTTGTTTTGAGTTTCTTGAGGTTTATGATGAAACCTGCCTTGCTAACATTGCGTGTTTCTGATAGATATTAGATTTGTGCAGCTGTTAATAAATTTTCTTTAGATATTCAAACTTGGAAAAAATGATCCAGAGTTCTGTATTTTATGATCCATTTTTATGGTTAGGCTAATTCTTCATACCTATGTTTACTAATTTGTCTTTACTTTTTCAGTACATTCTTAAAACTGTAAAGGGGGACATCACTGTCTGCATCAGCGGATTTATAACATTGGATTTTCAATCTGCTCAAGGTCCACTCTGGTATGTTATTATCTCTGTGGGTGTTTATGCTTATAAAGTGGTATGCAGAATTTGATTTATCGCACCTTGCATTTCATTCTTAATTTTGTGTCACAGCCATGAGGTAGTTTGCTTGGGATCTTATGGGTCCAAACGTCCAACAACATTATCCACCAATTTTACGGTGTAATGTTGCTTGGGGCAATGGTAAAATCTTGGGCTGACAATCATCGAAATACGGGTTTAATTTTACCTTTTCTTATTTATTTATGACGAGGGTGGGCCTTGGCACAATGGTTGGTTGCTCCATTGCGACCTCAGTGACCAGGGCTCAAATCTTGGAAACAGCCTCCAGATCGGCTTTGGTTAGGACAAGCCCGTGGTTCACACCCTGTGAACAGCCTCTTGCAACCTTGCATCGGGAATACCTCCCTATGAAATAAAGCACAGAAGTACATAAGTATGGAGATATTCCCAATGCAAGGCTTAAAGGCTGTTGGAACAGGCGTTGACCTGACCGAAGCCAAACAAGTATCTGCAGTGGTAAGGCTGCATACATGCATTTCTCCCCAGACCCCGCCTTGGCAAGAGCCTCGTGAACAGGGCTGCCCTTTAAGTCTGAGGGTGACTACTTCTTGCTAAAGTGCTCTGAGGTTTTTCTGGTCCATGTCTAATCCACCCTTCCCAAGAGCAAGGCCCCCAATAGCCAGGAGAGACATCATAATGGCGTTTTTTAATTGCATATCCTTGTAAAGCCTGTTTGAATGCATTTCTTGATTTATTTATGTCTGTATATTTATGGAGACAATGTGTGTGCAGGATTCTTGGAGATGTCTTCATGGGAGTTTATCACACGGTGTTTGACTTCAGTAACCTCCAAGTGGGATTTGCAGAAGCTACGTAGACAAGGCTTAATGTATAGCTGATCTTTTTTTGCTCCAGTCAGTGTCGAGCGAGTTAATAAAAGCAGGCTGGACTCTGTGTGTTTTGAATTGGATGATGTGGGAATGGTAGAGCAATATTGATGCTTTTTTTCTGATGACTCAAACATGGAATGGGAGCCCTTAATATTATAGTGTAATTATTTTAAACATAGAAAGGAGCATATGTGATGTTCATATATGGTGTAAGTTGGGGTGTTATTGCACTTTTAGTCTATCTTTGATTACAAATTAGATTGCATTAGATGATTACTCCTTTTTCTTTGGGCTGGCCTTTTATGAAGTATTTTTATTGGAAATTGGCTTAAAAATATTGTGAAATAATAAAAATGCAAATATGTATTTAAAATAGAGCCGTACATTTTATTTAGTTGATCCGACCTTGCAAACTCTACCTCATCCCTTCTTAGGGCCTGTTCATTTGCTTTGATGTCTAATATTTGAAAGTGCAATAATTACATTAAGAGGTATATTGGTATTAGTGAACTTTTCTTTCCTCTGAACTCTAAATGCAAAGAAATTTGTTTCGAATTCTGAAAATTGTCAAATGTCCATTTTAATCTCATATATGAGATTTTTTGTTTGTATATGTAATTCATTAAAAATTATTAATAAATAATTTGTGTTAATTTATAATTAATTATAATAATAATTATTAATTAATATAATAGTTAATAATTGATTAATAGTTAATAATTAATTAATAGTTAATATTTAATTTATAAAAAATCATTATTATTATAATAGTTAAATAATAATTAATAATTGATAATGATCAAATATTAATAATAATTAATTATATTAATTCTCATTAATCTATAATTAATAATAATAATAAATATTTAATTAATAATTCATTTACTATTAATACGAATTTTTATAATTGATAATTATGAATTAATCATTAATAATTAACAATTGTTAATAATTAATAGTAATAATTATTATTAATTAATAATAATTAACAACAACAACAACAACAATAATAATAATAATAATAGTAATAATAATAATAATAAAAGTTTTTTGTGTTTTGGAGGTATGATTGGAAAACAAAGAAATATAAGATTCCACTTTAAGAGATAAGAGACAAGAGGAAACGAACATCCACTTTCCTCTTAAATCTGCAAGGTTCCTCTTAAGAGGTAAGAGTTAAGAGGAAACAGGCAGGCCCTTAGTCTCAAACGTCTCTCCATTCGACTCCAAGCCTAGAAGATGGGAAAAAGATTATTGAAATGACAGCTTTGCCAAGTGGTGATTGTCTCTATTTATAGGTGTTCTTGAGGCAATAATTAGAAGGTCCATCTGTTAAAGACTTTGATGCCTCAAAAGGCTTCAACTTGCTTCGGTTCCCTTAGCAGTTCAATAAATATTAAGAACATTATCATAATTCCAACAATGTGACCATGAACTTGATTATTCTAAAAATCTCTCACTTGGTCTGTTGTTATTTTTTTAGCAAGAATTTCAAAATTTTCATAGAACCAAAGCAAGGATGTCAACATTCTTGGTTCTAGTGACTTTAATAAATACTTAAGCATGAAGAGATCCCTGCTAGTTTAATGCAAGCAAACCCATTTTCATATCAAAGTATTTACAAAATCCCTATCCCCAAGTCATAAAGTACAAACTGGGCATAATAGAATAAGCTAAAAAACCTCCTAGCACGATCAATAGACCATAATGGTATATGTCATATAGATGTCAAAATAAAGACAATCAATTTTGTGCATGATGAACATACAATTTATCTATAGATTATGAGGTCTTTGCATGGATTTTTATGTCGTTTTTATTTAATTTTGCTCTAGTTTAGTTTTTAATGATAAGAAAATATTTCAGGGGTAATTAATCCAAGAAAGAAAAAGAAAAAAGGAAAGAAAAGAAAGTTCAACAAGACCAATTTCAGCCCAGCCCGGTTGTGGAAGCAAGAGAGAGCACTTCGGCCCAAGAAGAACAAATTGATTCCATGAAAAAACCCAAGAAAAGAAAGCCAAGCAAAGAGTAAAATTCGGCCTAGTAGAGAAAGCCCATTCTCAGCCCAAAAGAGCAGCCTAGAGTGTAGCTATCATGTGCTAAGTGGGAGCCTAAGTGCAGCCCAAAGAGCTAGGGGCGGCAACTCTTAAAAGGCTTTAAGAGAACTCTAGAAAGTTCAAGAAGGAGGTGTAATACACCCCATTCTAGAGGCTTCAAGAAGGGGCAAGAGCCCCCTTGAAAATCTATATAAGGAGGCCTCTATAAGGGGGAAAGGTGTTCAATTACTTAAGAGAAAGGCTCTCCCACTCTTAGAGGTTGGAACACCGTGAAGAAAAGAGAAGAGAAGAAGGGCTAGGCGCAAGGAGGAGAAGAAGAAGGGCTGGAGGAGTTCAAGTCAAACTAGCAAGAAGAGAAGGTGAGTTCGAAATTGGAGGTTTTTGATTCAGAGATCTATTATAACAATTCCATTCTAGTTTCATGTTCATTTGATTCGAATTCAGCTTCCTTGTTGTAATTTTGTTTTTCTTTCTCCCTCTTCCATTCTTTCTTGATGCAATTATGTTTGTAAAATTTCAAATTAGCAATCAATTTCTTTTTGATTCATTCGAATGGGTGTGAATTGTTCTTGAAGTTTCTTGAATAAGGGTTAATTGTAGATCAATTCAGCCAATTAAACTTTCAAAACTCAGATCTGAATTCTCATATCTGAGATTGCAAGATCTGAATTGCTTGAAAGAGAATTCAGATCTGCAATTTTTTAGATTGGCCGAATAGATCTAAGCTTGGAATTCTTAGAGAGCTTGAGAAAGACTTTAGGAATTCAGATCTACTATTCAAGAACTGAATTGGATGCAAGGTTAGAGATAACTTGCACAATTCAGTTGGTGATCAATTCAGATTTGAATTGATGCCTTAGAAGTGTGAAGAAATGCATGCATGGGGATTAGATTCTTACTAGAAATAGAAGAACCGTCACTCATGCATAGGATGAACATGCGCTTGAGAGAGGCTGCTCATGACCTTGGGGTTTCACCAAACCAAGGCTCAATCATGATCTATTCGAATGGTTTAATTTGATTGATTTCTAAATTCTAAGATTGACATTAACAGTTTACTCTTCTAACTTGAATTGAAGGCAATTGAGCCAATAATTTAGGTAGATTTTAGTTTATGATTTTTTTAGCTCTTGAATAAAGTTTTGATTTATTGTTGATCAGATAAGAAGTGCTCAATTTAGTATTGGTAATTGTTTCCTCGTGGGAACGATACTTTATTCACTACTTTATTACTTGAATGGCTAGTGCACTTGCTAGTGTCACAATGAGCCACACCAGTGCGCTTAAATGCACCATCTAAATGATGAAGGGCAACTGGTAGTGATCAGCTACTCGAATCAAATGTGCACATGATAACAAAATTAAAATCGATGCAATGAATTTACAAATTTGCAAATAAGCTCCCACTAATTAAATAATGGGAAATTTTCTTAAACTACCCTTATGGTTTAAATAATTTACTAACTCACCCTTAGTGTTTACATATTGTCTTAAATTACCTATACTATTTCTGACAATTGTCTAAAACCTCCCTTGCCATTAACTTCCTGTCACACTCCGGTCACATGTGACATCACGTGATTGGAAATTTTCTTTAAATTTCTTAAAATACCCTTCCTGTGACTTGTTCATCATCCTCAACCTTGAGACTGTTGGTGTATAAATTTCAACTTACTGAAGATGTTGGGCCCAATGGGATGGAGGGTTTTAGTGGGACCCAATGTATGGGGCCCTCTATCGTACTAGCCCAAGGTGTTGGAGCCCAATATGAATTGAAGAAAATAAATAATAAATAAAAAGAAGGGGGAAGAAATTCTAGTTGGATCTTGATTGGCAAACAAGCTCTCACTAATTAAATGATGGGAAATTTTCTTAAACTACCCTTATGGTTAAATAATTTACTAACTCACCCTTAGTGTTTACATATTGTCTTAAATTACCCATATTGTTTTTGACAATTGTCTAAAACCTCCCTTGCCATTAACTTTTTATCACACTCCGGTCATATGTGACATCACGTGATTGGTAATTTTCTTTTATTTCTTAAAATACCCTTCCTGTGACTTGTTCATCATCCTCAACCTTGAGACTGTTGGTGTATAAATTTCAACTTACTAAAGATGTTTGGCCCAATGGGATGGAGAGTTTTAGTGGGACCCAATGTATGGGCCCTCTAACTTATTGGCCCAAGGTGTTGGAGCCCAATATGAATTGAAGAAAATAAATAATAAATAAAAAGAGGGGAGAAAAAATTCTGGTTGGATCTTGATCAACCACATTACTCATGAGGTGTTATTACACCTAGCTGCCAAATGGCCTTTTTCACAAATGATTTTCCAGTCAGTTCAACATGACCCCTTAATTAAGGGAGGATCGATTCACTTTCCATTTTAGTCTAGAGAAGAGCATTTAAATTAAATATTTTCGGATCTCAATGGCATTCAAATTAATGTAATTTAAGAAGGAATGTTACAACTAGTCAATTGGATTTCCTTTTATGTCTAAGCCCAACCATGTATGAAGTGGGACTTGGTTATAAGTACAACTAAAGGATTGAAATTAACTTCAATTTAAAGTACCTAACTACCTTAATCAGATCAACCATATGGTCACCGCATTATCAATTTGTGGGCCCCATGTCAATCAGCATTAAATGGTGATTAATTAAATTGCAACTATGATTGGTGGAGATGATCATGTTAATAATATTGGATAGGGCATCTCAAATTAATCTTGTGAGTCCCCCTCTAAATTAAATGCATTTGAAAGGAAGCCACCGCTGTCAAGGATTGGCTTTCCTTTCATGCATTTGAATGAGTTGGGCGGACTCTTCAAATGAACCCAACTCATTATAAAAGGGGAGAGGGGATGAGAGGAACGGACCCCCTTGGAAAAAGGAGAGCAGGTTCTTTTACAGAAAAGAGAAGATAGAAGAAATAAGAGAAAGGAAGGAGAAGACAAAAAATTTGAAAAAAAAGTCTAGCTCCAACGTTGCTGCTAAAGTTTCAATAGAAGAAGAAACGAGCTTCACCAACATCAAGGGAAGCAGAATTAGAATTTTGGCTGCTCAATCAATAAAGTTTTGAAACCATTACAGCTCTGTGCCACGTCAGTTGAAGGATTCCGGCCTTTGAATTTCTATAATCAAAAGCTTCATCAAATTACTACAACAAAAAAAAGAGAAAATTCTCCTATCTTGCACACGTACAATTGATCATT